CTGCGAAGCAGAAAGTTTCTTCGGGAATAGATACGGCTGCGAAAGAAGCTAAGAAAGCCAAGGAGAAGACCGGTGGTTTTCTGTCCAGTTTGTTCAAAGGTGTGAAACACGCGGCGGATGACATGTCGGAAGACGTGAAGGAGTTTGTGGACGAAACGAAGAAGGAAGCTGCCGAGGAGGAAGCCCGTGCGCGCGAGGCAGTGGCAGAGAAGTTGAAGGACGTCGACGCAGCGAAAGACGAAGGAATCGCAGCCGTGAAAGATGCGAAGGATAAGGTGATAACAGAGGTGAAAGATGCAAAGGATAAAGTGGGCGACAAAGTCTCAGAAGCCGCGCAGAAAGTATCCGATGGCGGCAAAGCTGTTGGCGAGAAAGTAGCGGACAGCGTAAAACAGATTGGAACCACTGCGGATGCTACTGCTCACCGAGCAGCGGATGATGCAAAAGCAGTGAAAGACAAAGTGGCGGCTGATGTGAAGGATATTAAAGACAGAACTGCTGCGACCGCAAAGGACGCTAAGGACAAAATTGCCGAGAAGGTGGTTCAGGGCGTCGAAAAGATCTCGGACGCTGGTAAAGCCGTCGGAGAAAAAGTCGCAGATGGAGCAGAAACAGCCAAGGATAAAGTTGAAGCGATTGCTCACGGGCTAGCGACTGAGACGAAACAGGTGAAAGACAAAGTGTCTAGAGAAATTGAGGACGACGCGGAAGCTGCAAAGCAGAAAGTAACAGGGGCGGTAGATGCGGTAGCAGACACCGCTGTATCTGCGAAGGACAAAGCTATCAAGGAGGCTAAGAAAGCCAAGGAGAAGGGCAATGGTTTCCTTTCTGGATTATTTAAAGGTGCGAAACACGCGGCTGACGAAGTTTCAGACGACGTCCGAGGATTTCTCGAGGAAACTAAACGAGAAGCGTCCGAAGAGAAAACCCGTTTGCACGATGCAGCGGACGCAAAATTGAAGGACATCGAAGCATCGAAGGACAGAGCTGCCACGGACGTTAAGGATGCAAAGCAGAAAGTTGTAGGGGCTGTAGTAGACGTCAAAGACAAAGTCACTGAAAAAGTATCTGAAGGTGTGGAGAAGGTATCGGACGTTGGTGCAGCTGTTGGCGGCAAGATCGTCGACGGTGTAAAACATGCGGAAACGAAAACGGAAGCAGCAGCTCGTGAAATATCTGACGGGGCCAAATCGGTGAAAGACAAGGTGGTTTCAGATCTGAAGGGAGCCAAGGATACGATCGCATCGGCGACAAAGGACGCGAAAGATAAAATTACAGAGAAAGCGTCGGAAGGGGCGCGGAAAGTGTCAGACACCACCAAGACCATTGGGGAGGAAGTCACCGAAGGATTGAAAACAGCTGAAGATAAAACAGCAACCGTTGCTCACGACATCGCTGACGGCGCGAAAGCAGCAAAGGATAAAGCTGCTAAAGAAATGAAGGAAGACGCTGAGGCAGTGAAGCAAAAGCTATCGTCTGGTGTAGACGCAGTGGCAGACGGCGCAGAGGCCGCAAAGGACAAGGCTGCGAAGGAAGCTAAGAAAGCCAAAGAGAAGACCGGCGGTTTCCTTTCTGGTTTGTTCAAAGGTGTGAAACACGCCGCGGACGAAATGACCGAGGACGTGAAAGAATTCGTGGACGAAACGAAGAGGGAAGCTGCCGAGGAGGAAGCTCGCGTTCGCGAAGCAGTAGCGGAAAAATTAAAAGACGTCGACGCAGGGAGAGAGAAGGCGGTCGCAGATGTGAGAGACGCCAAGGATAAAGTTGCCACTGCTGCGAAGGACACCAAGGACGCGGTCGTTGCAAAAGTATCTGACGCCACGCAGAAAGTATCGGACGCAGGTAAAACTGTCGGTGAAAAGATAGGCGATGAGATGAGACGAGCCGAGAAAGAAGGCGAGTCTGCAGCTCGAGGACTGGTCGATGGCGCAAAGGAGATGAAGGACAAAGTAGCAGCGGATTCGAGGGACACCAAAGACAGAGCTGCTGCAATTGCAAAGGACGCTAAAGGTAAAATCGCTGAGAAAGTAGCTGACGCTGGTAAAGCTGTTGGAGATGCAGTCGCGGACGGGGCAGAGAAAGCCAAGGATAAAGTCGAGGCAACCGCTCACGGAATAGCGACCGAGGCGAAACAAACGAAAGACAAGGTATCGAAAGAAATTCTGGACGATGCCGAGGCAGCGAAGCGGAAGGTTTCGTCGGGGGCAGCCGCAGTTGCGGACGGTGCTGCAGCAACAAAGGACAAGGCTGCGAAAGAAGCTAAGAAAGCCAAGGAAAAGGGTAGCGGTTTCCTAACGGGGCTGTTCAAGGGTGCAAAGCAGGCAGCCGATGACGTTACGGGAGATGTCAAGGACTTTCTCGAGGAGGCAAAGAGGGAAGCTTCCGAAGAACAAGCTGGCGCGCACGAAGCAGTGGAGAGAAAAATCGAGGACGTAGCTGCAGGAACGAAGGACACGAAGGACAAGGTAACAAGCGCTGTGAAAGATGCCAAAGTCGCAGCGGGTGAAAAGATGTCTAAAGCTGCGCAGAAAGTATCAGATGTCGGAAAAGCTGCCGGTGAAAGAGTAGCCGACGGTGTGAAAAAAGTTGAAGAACAGGTAGACGCCAAAGTTCACGACGTGGCTGACAGCGCGAAAGCAGCGAAGGACAAAGTAGTGACCGATGCGAAAGACGCAAGGGACAAGATCGGCGAGAAAGTAAGCGATGGCGTGCAAAAGATATCAGAAACTGGTAAAAAAGTAGCGGATGGGGTGAGAAAGGTTGAAGACGAGACAGAAGCAATAGCGCGCGATGTAGCTGACGGTGCGAAATCTGCAAAGGATAAAGTAACAACAGAAGTGAAGAAGGACGCGGAAGCTGCGAAGCAGAAAGTTTCTTCGGGAATAGATACAGCTGCGAAAGAAGCTAAGAAAGCCAAGGAGAAGGCCGGTGGTTTCCTGTCGGGATTGATCAAAACTGTGAAGCACACGGCAGACGAAGTTTCGGAAGAGGTCAAAGGATTCGTCGACGAGACAAAGAAGGAAGCTGCTGAGGAGGAAGCACGTACTCGCGAAGAAATTGCCAGTAAGGCAAGAGAGATCGACGCAGCGAAAGAACGAGTCGCTGCCGGCGTGGAAGCTGCAAAGGACAAAGTTGCCGCAGATATAAAAGGTACCGGGGAGAAAATTTCATCCACCGTAAAAGATGCGAAGGACAAGCTCGATGAAAAAGTGTCTGTTACGGTGCGTACCGTATCAGAAGCTGGCAAAACCGTAGACGATAAGATTGCCGACGCGGCGAAGAAAACGGAAGCAACCGCAAAAATGGCTGCTCAGAGCGTAGTTGACGAAGCAAAGGCAGCAAAGGATAAGCTGGAAAAGGAGATGAAAGAAGATACTTTTGCTGCAAAGCAGAAGATTTCGTCTGGAGTGGATAGAATGCACGTGGATGGTGCAGAATCAGCGAAGGACAAGGCTTCGAAGGAGGGTAAAAAAGCGAAGGAGAAAGGCGGCGGATTCCTTTCCGGTTTGATCAAAAGTGCGAAACACGCGGCGGACGAGGTATCCGGCGACGTGAAGGAGTTCGTCGACGAAACGAGAAAGGAAGCAGCGGAGGAAGAGGCTCGTGCCCGAGAGGTGGTAGCGTCTGAAAAACTGAAAGACGTCGATGCTGCTGCGAAAGCTGCCAAGGACAAGGTGAAAACCGGCGCGAAGGAAGTTAAGAGCACAGTGAGCTCCGAAGCCGTAGAGAAAGTGTCGGACACTGGCAAAGCTGTTGGTGAAAAAGTAGCTGATGCCGGAAAATCTGTCGGAGGGAAACTGTCGAGTCAGACGGAGCAGAGATTCGTGGCAGAGGGCAGCGAGCCGAAAAGCAGCGTAGCTGCGTTTCTCGAAGAGATGAGGCGAGACGCAGTGTGGGACAAAGTACCGCTGCAAGACGAACCCGACGACGTTCACTTGTACGAAAACGTGGACACGATGTACGTGAGACATGGGAAGCCCGAGTCGAAAGCTCGGAAACACGGGAAAGACGTGAGGTTCACCACCTCGTCGTCGGTTTTCGATGTACACGATCCGCTGTCTGGCTTAGGCGCCGAGGCACAGGTCAGACTGTTGTCCGACGTAAGCGCCGGTGACGACGGCGATGCTCGTGATGCCGGCGAATCGACAACCGAGAAAGTATCGTCCCGCATTCCACAGCAATTTAGTTCCTCGAAAGACCGGTTAGTTAGCTCTAGCAGTTGGTCGGACAGTACGGTTCAGATAGGGAACAACGTGTTTAGCGAAGTAGAGCACCTTGAGCCTCAGACACGACAGACCGTCACCACAGTCGTAAGAAAGTCTGTGCGGACGGCAGCGACCCCACCACCCAGTCCCGCCGAGTACACTGACAGTAGAATCGAAGGTATCTTGCAATAATTGCGTTATAAATATTACATACCAGCTGTGTGTAACATGATTAATTAAGTTGACGCTTTTCTATAACTTATGTTTTGGTAGTCGTACCAAAATGGCCCAACACCATTGGCCATTGCACTCTCTCTCATTCATAATGAACTCTAACACTCTTCCGATCTCTCTCAGTCACTTCTCTAGTGTACTAATGTTTGTACTAGCGATCTTGCGCGAGGCAAGAACGTCGAACGTACTATAAAGTGGTATTGCAAAAGACCTGAAAGAATAATATCCATCGCGTGGCGTTGTTAATATCCAGCGATGATAATCCACCGTTCGCGGTTTCGTTTAAAATGGAACGTGAATTTTGCGCGATTGCTCGTTCGATTGCTTCGAGCCACACACTTTATAGTATGTATGCCGATCTAAAAAAGAAACGAATCGTGAATATACGTGATTCGACCGTAGCAAAAGGCGTATTGTGAGACAACATGTTTTTACGTTATTTCTATTTATTTGCTGTTATTATTTTCAGTTTTGTGCGTTTTTTAACTTTCTTAACATTTCTTTGATGCATGTTTCCAGGTTTTTTACGCTACTTTTTCCTTTTTTAACATTTACCAATAATATTATCCGAACGGCCAAACGATTT